CAGGGAATGTGTTTGTCTGAAGCTTTTGGTTACATTGAAGTCATGCAATCATGGTATAGTTTGTTGATATATTGTTTATAGTGCTCAATAGTGAGATTCCCAACCTTACTTGCTCTAGCATTTGTGCGTGTGATATTACTAAAGAGGATTTTTTTAAATGCAGAATTGCTGCATCTTATTTTCTCTAAGGAAGTTTCTCCCCTTTCTCAGTTTAAACTAATTGTGGGAAAGCTGAGCAGTTGGACGCTGTCTCGAGTGTTTTAAAGGGCAGTGTTGTTAACACGCTCCGCTGGCAGAATAAAACTGTCTGCTCTGTTTATCTGAACTTCAGACCAGTAGAGGTTTTCTTATTTCTGTCAACATTATTGGGATACTTGGGAAATCATTTAATTGACACTTAAACTAGTTGTTTATATACACTAAGAGCATTTATCATGTAACGTTAAGTTTTGTGTCCTATTTAATGAACCAGTTTTATCTATCTTGCTTCATTCAGCCCTTGTCTGGATTTTGTCTGCTGACAGCTTAAATGAGTTTATCCGAGCACTGCGCTGGTGCTGTGTGTGTGTGTGTGTGTGTGAGTGTGTGTGTGTGAGTGTTTCACTGCAAAAACTGGCTCTGACTGGCACTAAACGCAGCCAGCTTTGCTTTTCTGTCCTCCTCCATCTTAGTGCTTCATCTCTCTGATCCCAGACTCCCACACATTCAGATCATGTCCTGTGTGGAGAACTCCCTTCTCCAGAGGGATTTAATGTAACTGCTTGACATAGTTATTTTTGATTTACCTCTTTTCTCTCTCTCTCTCTCTCCTCTCTCTCTCTCTCTCTCTCTATATATATATACACGACCATTTTTAAAATGTTTTAGAAATAAGTTATTATTTGATTAATATACAATAAAAACAAAAATATTGTGAATATCTGTTAAAATTTAATTTATTTCTGTGATCAAAGCTGAATTTTCAGCATCATTACTCCAGTCTTCAGTGTCACATGATCCTTCAGAAATCAGTATAATATGCTGATTTGCTGCTCAAGAAACATTTCTGATTATTATCAATGTTGAAAACAGTTGTGCTACTGAATATTTTTGTGGAAACCATGAAACATTTTATTTCAGGATTCTTTGATGAATAAAAAGTTCATAAGATTATTAATTATAAATGCCACTTTTGATCAATTTAATGCATTCTTGCTGATCTTAGTGACCCCAAACTTTTGAACTGCAGTGTATTTTTTTCATGACCATTAAAAAGTACTGGACACTTAAGCCACACTCATGTCTCAATGTCACTGCATTAATGACAAATAACAAAACAAGTGGCATTTATTTCTAAGATAGCATAAACACTTTTCAAGCACTAAATTTCCCAAAAAGAAGTTTGTGATAAAACAGTTATGGGAGCCCTAGAGGCCAAGCTTTTTTTTTCTCATGAACTCAACATAGCAAAATAGTTATTATTTATTTATTTTTTTCTCATGATCACAGCATAACAAAAGAGTTGTCTTCTTGTGTTCTGGTCATCTGACCCGTTATCCGACAGCAGCACTATTTAAGGTCTGTGCCTATTAGCGTTGCACTTTTGAAAAACATGAAAAATAAAATGCATAAATATTATGAAGCTACTTTATAATATATGCCTCATGCGCTCACTGTGTTGATGGCTCCATTGACATAACATTTAAATGTTAATGTTAATAATGTTAAATGCACAAATAAAACAAATAAAAATATTCAAAACGTATTAGTACAATGAATTCTCATTGTAAAAATAATGTTAATAACCATCAAATTAATTTATTCTATCTGGTAACCTTTTGGAAAGGAGACCTTGAAACTCTGAAACTGGAATGGGAAAAAAAATAAATAAATAAATAAATAAATATATATATATATATATATATATATATATATATATTACAGCTTCAGTCGGTGGAT